TGAGTGAGACTGCATCGGGTCAGACTTGAGATGCATCTGCAGCATGCGTCATTTATTTGTCATTTGATTGACGGGAGTTATTTACTGGTCTTGTTGAGTCCTTCCTCTATTATATGCTGCTCCGCAAGAGGAAGGATAATGCAAATGTACGTTGTGGACTTGTTCCAAGCCATACGGACATGAGCATTTCTTGTTGAAATGCTAGTCTCATTTGGGTGGCATAGCAGAGGGTTAGGCTGTAGAAAAAAAAAATCTATTTTTTTTTTTAGATATAATCTCATAATAGCTGAAAAGTCCAGCTTGAGGTAGTTACTTGTTTTGGAAAATCGTAACACAAGGAGCTAAAACTCAACCAAGTTGTGTGCAGTGGAAAACAGAGCTGGATGCTGAAAGGTCCTGGGCAGACTGTGCCAGGAGAGCAGTAACATAATCCGTAATGTAAAGTACATATTATGTAAACATAACATTTACTGTAATGTAAAGTATAGCTGAGAGTTCGAGATAGGTACAGAGGGAGAACATTTAGCAGCCTCCAGTATGTTTACTTTGGAGAAATTGCAAATGGATGTTGGAGAACCCGCTCCATGACTGGTGTTTAGATTAGGAAGCCAGGCAGCCAAATATTGCTGTAGAAAATGCTGAAATGCCAAGACCCTCAAACATTGAGGCCATGTTGCTTTAGGAACCTAAAGGACAAGGAAAACCAAACAGATATCTGGATGCCTTCTTTACCTAAGAATACAACTTTTAAGGTTCTTAAGAAAATAAAATCCAGGTATGTTGTTACCTGGGCTGTTCTGTTCCACAAAGATTCCTTTAAAACGCTGTCTCTTGGTTGAAATAATGTGAGTGTTTTCAACATCTTCACAGACAGAAATCCATGGCCTTTCTCCTTCACCAAATCACTTCTGTCTTCTGAGCTACTTATTTCTTCAACAGTGGGTATTTTAGCGCTACTTTAGCTTCTCCTCTGTCACTTCCACCTGTAGGCTCAGTGGTATTCCTGAGCAAGTGAGTTGCACATCTACAAGGAATTTCAGGGCTGTGATCCTTCAGTAAGGCTCTGTTACCTCTCCTGGGGTATCTACATGGTTGGGAGAGCTGGGAGTGGGAGAAGAAATCTGGGTGTGTAGCTGGGTAATTGAGTTTCTGAAGGGCTGCTTGGAACCAGAGTCAGGCTGATGAGGAAGCAGCACTGGATGCCTGGCTCCAGGCAGTCCTGTCAGCTCAAAAATGATAGTTAGGATGGCTGTTACCACAGGAAAGGTGAAAGATGTTGTCTTTTCTTTCATTGCACTGCCCAGTGAAAGCTACTGAATGAAGCCAGGTAAGCTTGTCTACGTCCATCGTGATGATGGAGCACAAACATTGCTTTGGGTAGAGCCCTGTAATCACCTGGGAGGAAAGAATTAAAACATCTCAGGTATGTTCTAAGAACAATGTAGTCTTTAAACCTCCCTGTAAATGTGGAACAACAGAAGTGGGTTTCTTCACAACCACCTTTATAAGCCTCATGTTCAAATATTGTGACCAATGATTGAATGGATTACAAAGTTGACACCAGGCAAAATATTGACTTACCTTAGCAGTGTACTAGCCCTAGCCAGCCCCAGCAATGCCTGTCTTCTCATTCTGCTGTCCTGAAGCAAGTCTGCATGTTGGGGAAGACACTCCTGGCCCTGTGGCATCCTCCTGAGTGATCAACTGATGTTCCGAGAGTGTAAATATCACAAGATTTGGAATACAATCTGGAAAGTTAAGTTAGAGCTTGTTATGCGGTCGGTGCCAGCCCTGCTCAGGCATCCTGCTGGGTGGCTTCTGCCTGGTCCCTGGCTGGGCAGAGACAAGATTTCACCCAGCTTTTGGCAGGATGCTGGTGCAGGCATGGCCTGGCGCTCTGAGGCTGCACAGGCAGTAATCTAGACACAGATGGATTTCAAAGGAGCCTCCAGGCGGGAACATTGCTGCTTCTCCAATGTGGGTTAGTTGGCTAGCATGACAGGCAGCTCTCTGTTATGACAGCAATTAAAGCCATAGCAATAGGATGCTCATAGAAGTGGCCAAAATAATAAATGCAGTGATTTCACGGCTCAGAGAGTAACTACATGGGCTGCTTTTGGTACCGCATCAATGCGGTGGTGGCACCCTGGCCTGCCATCACCACGACGTGAAGATCAGTGGCGTGTTTTCTGGGAAGTCTCACGCTGCCTGCTCTTCTGCTTGGGCTCTGCGATCGTCCTTGCTGGCTTGAGCTCTTGCTTTTCATTTTTTGGGGGGACAGATGCACTGGTATTGGGAAGACCTGAGAATTTGCTTAATTTAGACTTCTTCAGTTTGCTTTTTGTCTGTGTGTGGAAACTGGTCTATTCTAGCCCTATCCTGGCTGGATCTCCTTTTGAACTGATGTTCAGACACACACGAGGCCAGGGAGGGAGTATTTGCCAAACAGAAGTTGGGCAAGCCACAACGGGCTGGATTTGAGTGAGCAAAGTAAAAAATGAAAATTACAGGAATGTAATTTTGAATGTCTCAGTGAGTCACAATCTGTTTGTTAGCAACAAAACGCTGTTTGGAGATGGGCTGGGAAGAGGAGTAAGAGGCAGATCACATGGCCTTTGCTCATGCTGAGCAGCCCATCGTCCTGCTCTGGGACTCCGAAAGATTTGTGTTGTCAGACAGGAGGCGTGATGGCAGAGGGGTGTCCAGAAACAGGGAAGGAATCGAGTATATTGCCTGGGGCTTGCAACCTAAGTCAGGGCATGATTCTGCTCCATTCTCTTTTCTAGATCAGTCTGGGGCTTAAAGAGGTGGGTACACTGCTGTCTAATCTGGAATAAGTTTTACTTCAATATTAACCTGAAAGTAGATAGGAAGGCAAGCCCTGTCCACATGAAGGCAGCTTTGTTGTTTAGTCTTTAATAATCATCTTATTTTAACAGAGAGGCCTAATATCTGTGTGATGATTAATTTCTGACTGTTGGATTACTGAATGTTATTCATTAAAAAAAAAAAGGCTCAAAGTATTGCCTGTGTTGCCTTGGACAGATTCTCTATGGGGACTTCTGCGTTTGAAGACCCCATTTCCTTGGCACTTTTCAGTGATGACTGTGTTGGAAATAACATTTTAAAACTGTTTTCCTAGCAGAAGTGGCTTGATACTTCTGCCTACATCCTGGCCTTCTGTTCAGGGACTCTGAGAAAACAGAAGCAGGGCACAGCCCTCTCTCTGTGCCATGCATAGCTGTGTCAGCTCCGAGCACGGGCCTTCTCCGTGGCCACCCGGGATTGTGGTTGTTTAATGCGTGCACGGCACTCCCGCCCATCCAAAGCATTTGCTTGGAGCGATTTTGCAAATAGTGAGACTTCAGGGAGCACAGGGAGCTTTCAGCGACCTAATGAGGAAGGAAGATGCTAATGCCCTAGGTTGGATCCTGTCATTTTCGCTCATGCTCAGAGTTCTGTTGACTGGGAGAAACCAGGGGCTCGGGCATAACCAGGCCACGCTGCTAGTGATACTCCTCATGGATGTCACATTGCTTTTTGCAGGGTGAGAACTGCAGTGAATTGCAATCGGAGTGACTTTTAGTGAGTTCTTTACAAGCTGGTTCATAGTCTCAGTTCAGCAACGCATCCATTATTCATTGGGTTTATGACAGTTCCTGGGGGGCCTAATAAAACTCGGGCTGAATTACGGTGGGCAGCAGAGCCCCTGCCCCGATCAGGCTGTGTGGAGAAGCAATGCAGGCGAGATGGGGAAGGGGCTGGCAGCAGAGCGCTGCGTTACAGACTTAGCCCCGTTCTCATTCAGCAGCGCACGGTCGCTGCGCTCTGCCTGCGTTGATGCGGGGGCTGTGTGTGAGAACATGACACAAATGGAGAGCAGAAGATTGCTCTGTTCCAAATTTCCCATTTTTTATTTTTTTTTTCCCCTGTCCTTTCATGCCTGTGATCTAGCTTCTTTTTCTGTCGCGATTTCCAAACAAGCCAGGTTGCTTTCAGGGTGAGGCGATTTAGGAAGAGGTGAGCAGAGAGGCCAGCCATGGGTGTGAGATGGGCTGGGAGCTTCCAAAGGATGGGGGCACTGCGGCTGTCACAGGGCTGTGGTGGTGTTTGTTGCTGTTGATTTGATTTTTGTAGAGAGCTCTGAAGCAGACCTGCCGTGTGACTGGGCCTTTTGTAGGGTAGGTGAAAGAAAGCCTATTTTGGGGAGAGCTGACCTGATGACCCGATGCACATTTTTCACGTGCAGGGAGAAATCTGCTCTCCAGCTGATGCAATTCTGGATGAGTGGTGAGGAAGAAACATACACCAGCTTTACAGGGGTGTTCCTGGATCTGCTCAGTCCCTTTTGAGAGAGGCTTGGGGTGCAAGCATGGTAGGTGCCCACCCAGCCAAGCTTTCTCCTTGCTTCTACTTCAGAGATGTCCAAGTTCAACTCCCCGCCGCTTTGATCCCATGGCTTCAAAGGTTCAACTCCACTAAACTCTGTCCCATTCTTCTGATTTGGGCACTCTTTCTTAAGGAGGGCTTTTGACATATTTAACCTAAGGACGTTCTGGCTAGTGTCACTGGTAGCCAGATCTGTACTATGCGGCTCCTCGGGTGTCCGTCATCTACCTTTGTGTTTTACAGAGCCCTCCTGCCTTCACATCTTTCTCACGTCACTAGCTGGGAATTGCTCTTCCTGCCCTAAAAGAGCAAACCTTTGGGACTGCAGATGCGTGCAGTGACCATAAGTCACTCCCTTGGGTACTCTCTGGCCCCTGAGGTGGGCTCGTGGGTGACGGTACCTGGCTGTTGGCATCCTGTGGTCAGCACAGGTTGAGTCAAGTTGTATGCAGCACCCAGTGCTCTTGTGCAGGTGTTCGGGTCGGGACTTGGGGGTGGAGAATGTGTTAATTGTAGGTTGGTGTCCTATGAATTCTTCTAGATGAAGCTGAGACTAAGAGCAGAAGGGGCTTAGCCCCTTCTTTTTTTAATAGGCCCTTTTCTTCTTTCAGTCTGCTGCTAATAAACGTGTGAACTAAAGACAAAGGAAAGAATAAATGAAGAATGACTCCTGTGGAGCCTATGGAAATGGGCAGATGCAAAGCTGGAGGTAATATGAGTGTTGGACTTGGGGGCTTATCTTCTCCTGGGTGGACAGGAGCTTTGCCTCCGTTCCTGCTGAACTCATACAGAGAAGATACCTGTTTTCCTCCATTTTAATAGCACCATAACACTGATCCAAACTGGATCAGTGCACGCCTAGAAGTTGTCTTTCCATGGAGAACTTGTTAAAATGTTTTTTATGGAAGTCCTCCCTGCAGCTAGAAGCCCTTTCAGAGTTCTTCTTTTCGAGGAGCACCGTCAGTGACTGTGTGAGCCCCTCCACAGCCTGTGCCAGTGCCAGCCTGCCTGCCTGAACGTGGCAACCAGAGGGACTGGCCAGCAGATCCCAGGAACACGGTGCCACCGTGTTGGCTGCTCGCTGCCAACCCCTGTGGAAAGTGCCAGGGGGATATAACAGTGTGACTCACGCTACAGGCTGCTCCCTTTTGTTATGGAAACTGTTGCCAAAGACTGAAAATTAGGCCCATAACAAAATACATGGGTGATTTGTGTGTGTGTGTATGTGTGCAAACATCAGTTAGCACACCTTTTTAATTCTTTTTCTCTATTTTGTGTTTTAGTCTCTTATCTTGTGAGCCTTTGGGAACAAAGAAAGGATCTGAAGGACATCTGATTCCCTGCCACCCAAATCTGGTTGGTGCAGATATGAAGATGTGGTGCTTGTACCTCTCGGGACATCACACCTATGCTACATACTTCAGCTGCCTGGGTAAGCAGCTTCCTTTAATCCACAGAGCCATTACACTCCAGAGTAATAAGGCAAGACAACTGCACTAACAACTCATAGGTGGCGGTGCTTCAGCAGGAAATTCTCATCAAGAGCTGCATGGACAGAAAATATTTGAGGGATTTGCAGTGAAAATAGAGGGTTACAGAATCCAGTCAGGAAGGCCAGAGTGAAGGAGGTGAGCAGAGGTCAGGCACATGGAGAGACTCGTGCTCTTGTACCTCAGAGTGTAGCAGGTGTTATTGTCAGCTCCCTAACAGCAGAGCAGCCTTTCTCTTGAAGGTCAGCCTGTTAAGAGCTGACTTTCTCAAATAGACAAAGATCTTTGCCATGAAGTAAGGCTAACTTCTGCTTAAGATGTTCGTTCTATTTCAGGAAAAGAAAATGCCATTTTGAAGTGCTCTTTTGATTGTGTCTGTGTAGTACAGCATCCTGCCTTGGCTGTACAACTATAGAATGGTTTGGGTTGGACTCTAGACCTGCTCCAACAGGTCTGTGTCTGTCTTGTGCTGGGGGCCCCAGAGCACTGGTCACCATTCACTGCTGAGAATTAGGGCTGGAAAGTCTTCACCAAAAGCCTTTACCACAGCTCCCTGTGCTTTTGTGTGAGGACTTGTACTAGTTACTTGTATTATATGAAACGAAAAATCTTTATATTTATTTCCATTTAGTGTTGTGACTATCCCTTGCTAAGTGTGTGCACATAATTCTGGTTACCAAATATCTCCTTGCTTACAATTTCCTTATCAAAGCTAGAAGGAATCAGAATTGTCTCAGGTGCCATGTATTGGACTAGGTCAGCATTACTCTCTTGCCAGGAGTTTTTCCTGGGCAAATAAAGGATCTAGCTAGCATTCATATAGATTTTTGTTTTGTTTTGGCAAAGCATTAGATGATTTCATAAATGCATCTTGCTTATGGTTGTCATAAGGACTGTTTGGAAGTCTTAGCTCTAGATTGTCTCAGGTAGATGGCTGAAAAAAGACTTCTCTGCTGTTGTAGCTTTAGGATTACATCTCCACAGTTCAAAAGTCCTGTAAGAGTCTTAGATAGAAGATGCTGGACTAGACCTCAGTGGCGTTGCCACCTTTTCTGGGGTGGTTTTGAGATGCCATTGACACAGACTGGGATGGCACTGATGTGCTCCATTTATTCGCCATCTGCTACACAGCAGGAGCAGCAGGGATTTTCTTCAGAAAGTAGGTTCTCCTTTCAGGTCTCTGTGTTGCTGTTGAAAATACAGAGCATCTCATTTCATTTTTAGAGGGAAATTAACCTAAACACAGGCCTGACTGTGCCATGGCTGCTAAGCTGATGGCCATTGTATTTATCCTTTAAGGACACATTCATGGCAAGCTTCAGTTCAGAGGTCGTCTGCAGCCCAACAATGTTAATAGATCCCACTCTCCACTCCATGCCTTGGAGGAAGGCACAGTCCTCATAATAGGCCAAATTCATGGACTTATATTTGTTCCATAATTATCTCTGGAAAGAAATTTCTCACTGATTAACATATGCTCAGAAGCATTCACAATGAATAGGCCTTATAGTTTTCAGCGTACCGCAGACATTTGGTCGTATCTTCAGCTGGTGAAAACTGGCATCGCTTTGTTGCCTTTCCAAGTCATTTTACAATGAGTGAAGATTGGTCCTTCTGTTCTCCTTCACATGAAGGTCATGTAACTATTGTGGCTTTGTGCAATATGTTCTTTCTAAAGGAAAATGAATGTATAGTTGTCTTTTATTTTGCAATGATCTTCTAAAGTACTCAGTTCAAAGATTCGGCGTGCTTGACACACTTTCCACCCATTTCTTTCAAATTAATAATCCTCTGATGCCTCTCACATGATCTGTTGGTCCTAGGAGGGTTTGAGCTTTGATGGAGGAGGGGTCTTTGAACAAGGGAGGACTGGAAAATCTGGGGAACTTCTGTTTCACAGCCTTTGATACTGTGCTGATACTCTATCCTACTGTTAGGCTGCTTCAGTACTTCCAGTCTCAGGGTCATTTCAGAAAAGATATGGGAGGGATTCTCAGTTGGCTTTTCTGCAGTTTTTGTAGCTGTCTGGGGGGGAATACCCTAATAACTTGCCCACCAAGACTCCCAGTACCTTGCTTTCAATGGCATCTGAGGCCAGGATGCTTCAAAAGAGCAGAGCAGGGAACTGGCTCCCCCCGAGAAAAGGTCTCATCCTGAAGCCTCGGTAAGAGGGCTGGCAGGTGGGCATTTTTCCATCCCTCCCTTTCCTCTCTGTGGTGATTAAGAGCATCAGCTGCTACTCACCATGAGCAAAGCTTTAAGAATTTCTCTCACAGATAGCCAAGACATGAGTTGTTCTGAAGGCCGACTGAAACTGGGGATCAGCTTCCTGCACAGTCAGGCCTTGGATCAGATCCCCCTGTGTGGCAGGGAAATGTGTTATTAGCTGGGCATGCTCCAGGCCTGCCTCCAAGGGTCCCCAAAATGAGAGCTGTCTAGGAGTCTGAGAGAACTTACAGAAACAAACTGACTTGAGAAGGTTTCAGGCGCTTTAGGAGATGAGGAGGAAAACTCCCCTTTGAATGCTGATAGATTTGGGGCTCCAAAGCCCAGCAGAATCAGTGACAGAGGAAGAAATGAGCAGTTTGGCAAGCAGCAGCAGGAGTCAGATCTGATTTCTTACATCCTGGGAGTTCTGCAGTGTCTAGGGAGAGCTTGCTTTATCAGCCCTTCCCCTAGCAGGAGCACCAGCATAGACTTTCTGCTCTGTTTGGCCACTACATTTCTCACAATTCCTATGAATTCAGTATCTTGGAGGCCTTTCCTTCCAATTCCCAGAATGTTGAAATCAACTCCCACAGGCACCTGGGCACGAGGCGAGACCACACATGGAGCACAGCCCTTACGAGCTGGGAGGAAATGGCTGCAGATCCCTTCTGAGGCAGGTGCCACTTTCCTCCGTCTGATCTCCAGGAAGGATCACCTTTGAAGGGAACAGGGTGACTGCCCTGTGACACACCAGGCAGCTGTCAGTGCTGTTTCACTTCGAGGCAGGCACTACCTCATCTCAAAGCTCTTGTTTGCACTTGATGCTTCCTCAGACATCCTGAGTCACTCTTTACCCGCATTCACCCTGGATACATCTGTTTTCTCTGTGGTTGTGTGGTGGTTGGGAAAGTCCTCAAGTACAAAGAAAGACAAAACTGGCATCTTCCTCAAAACTTAGCCCTGCTGTTTTTATAATGAGAAAGCAGTTTGAATGTCCCATTCCTTGAGAAAACACAACTGCTTGGCAGTCTCAGCATTTCTCAGGTCTTGAAACACAATGTAGTTTTGCTGAATGCTTGTGGTTGGGGTTCTCCTGGGGTGTTTAACTCCAAGGTGTTTAGGACAAATTAGATTTTTATCAAAATGAGAGGTCTAGGAGCACCCTCTCAGTCCCTTCCCTGGAAATGGCTGTAGGTCTGTGTCAGCATGAAAGAACGAAATGAACAATTTTATTCTGATTTTCAGTTTTGAAGGGTGTTTGGGTGTTCAGCTCAGCCCTGGCAAAAGTTTGCTGCTTGCTGCTGTATGTGCATGTGGATGGCTCTGAAACTTGGATCACTTGATCTTTGCCATTGGTTAGGAGCATGTGCCCAGCTAGCTGTCTGCGTCAGCTGAAATGCATTTACATTTATTTGCAGTAATTTGGTCGTGAATTTTGTTTGAGCATTCAGTAAGCTTTACAATACTTAAACAGTGAAACTTCTACAAAAGCAACTCTGAAAACTGAGTAAGAAAAATGTAACTGCCTGTAACAAAACCTTCCTGCTGGCAAGCATAAATCAGTGTGTTTTTAGTAGCTTCTGATGAGCATCTTAATGGGGCCTATCAGTTTGACTTCATTTAAGTTTTCAGCCATTGTTATATTGCCTCAGTGATCACAGATGCTCTCGTGAAGGAGGAAACTTCAGAAAGGCTTAGCATAATATGAGTTTAGCTGGAATTGGAACCTGACAAGAGAGGTGTCTCTGGCATCTGACAAGCAAAGTCGGTACTGTACATCTTGCCAGGGTGCGCAAAGTCTAGGTCAATGTTTCATCTTGTTTGGCTGCTCACCTATTGATCTTCCCATGTCTCCTACCTTCATTTTCTACCAGTAGGCAACAGCATTCACTCCTGTTGCACCTGATCTAGGAGGCATGGAATAAAAATTCAGACCAAGAGGAGAAACTTAACAAAAAAACAAAACAAACAAACAAAAAAAAAAACAGCATATGTGCTGATGGCATCAGGATATTGGGAGGGTAGAAAAATTGTGCAGCTACCACCACTTTCTTCCTGGTCACATAATTCGCTTTCCTCTACCAATGTATGTAACACAGCGACTTGAGAGTTTCGCCTTTTTTTTTTTTTTCATCCTTTTATTTTGCTCCTGTTTCAAAGCCAACAATAAAGGAAAAAGGCATCGATGAACATCCTTATGGCTTAGGAACTTGAGGAGGCATAAATTGAGGGCTTTAGGCACTTATCTTCCACCAGCTGTCCCAAAGGCCATTCAAGCTGTAAAGCCCATCCATCACTGTGGCTGCTGACGCCAGTGCCACCGCCAGAGGAAGATCAGTCAGGCTGGATTATCAAAGTCAAAGCCAGAGACAGTTCTTGTGGGAAGCGGTTAGGAAAGTCTCATGTCTTTGCTCCTTACTGCGTAAGAAATAAAAGAGGGATTGTGCATGAGGGTTGGGAGTGCCCTGTTTCTCATTATTGAAACGTGTGGTCTTGAAAGAGAAGGAGGAGCCCCTGTACAAAAGATAAATCATGTTAGTGCTGTTTGTTTTTCTGTTTTTGCCTTCCAGTGCTCTGGTCTGGGAGCAGGAGGCAAGGGGCTTTGCGCATAAGCTCTTCTATTTGGCTGATAGTAAGGGTGCAGCTGTTTATTTTGCAGTGAGACAGAGATAGGCATGGGGAAATCAGACCCAAGAACCGGAACCAAAAATGTGGAGTTAAAGGCAGATACATA